AGAAAAGAAACAATAAATCTCCCCTTTTACAATGTTTAACCTGCATCACTTTTCATATATGTACTAAAACGAGGATCCCACCCAGTCTCTGCGTAAGCGTATTATAGGGATTGCCTTGTAAACGTTCATTTGACATTGGAGGTGTTAATTTTACAGGGAGCTTCTCGCTCGCTTGCCTATTCCTTTAAAAGGAAGACTATAGTATTGGGCAGTGGTTCTTAACCATTGTTACTCGGATGTTTTTGAACTGCAACTCCCAGAAACCCCAGCCAGCACAGTTGGTGGTGAAGGCTTCTGGGAATTGCAGTCCAAAACTCCTGAGTAACCCAAGGTTAAGAACCAGTGGTATTGGGCAGCTCTGGACACACAGAGAGAGTTTTTTCTTTTCTGCTGGGTTGAAAGAATGGATTATACTTCTGGGCATGCTAGATCTGAGTCATTCAATGGGGACACGAGAAAGGGCCTTCTCTATGGTAGCTCCCAGGTTATGGAATATTCTCTCTTGCGAGATCAGGCTGGCCCCCCTCCCTTCCTGACAGGCTTTTAACAATCATGACTGAACCCCTGACTGCCTTTTTTTTTAAAAAAAAGTTAAAATAGTTTTTGTTGTTTACTTGATTTTAATTGTTCAGTTGTGTTTTAATTATAATATAGTTTAATCGTCTTCTTAGCAACTGTTCTTTAAAAGAACCTTGGCTTGAAAGGGTGGAATATGCAAAGAATGTGAAGACTCAGTTAAAAACATTTCTGGGTTCCTGACAACAGCAAATTAAAGAGGAGTTGAATTATAACCACTTCAGACTTCCAGCTAGGAGGAAATTAATTCACAAGTACAGCTTCTGTGCTTTCTGATTCTCAAACCTCATTTGGTTATCACAAATCACCTCTGAATTTCTCCAGCCATGCATCTCTCTCTAAATAATTCGCTGCCTAGGCACAGCTAACATGTTTACACTCTAGGAATGTGTTAAACTTATTTTTTTTTAATAGCATAGCCACCCTCTTAAATTGACCAAAGCATAGTAGCATTATTTATTAAGTGTTACAGGGCTTAGAGATATTTAAAGATTTTTGAGAAATAACTTTGTTTTGTCCTGTCCTCTACCTTCTCTGGTGGTGTAACCACACTTCTTGAAACACAAGACAGGCCTCTCCGAGGAGGCTCAATCTATTCAACCTATGCTACATTGATAAAAGGGAGATCCTCTAACTACTTGCTTATAGAAGGGTTAGCTTTCTAATAACCAAAGGAAATGACTCTAAATCCTTGGAAAATGAGGAAACACATGTACTGTGGCAACCAGGGGTCTTGTACTTCAGGGAAAACCTCTGCAAAAATTGTAGACCTATCATGAAATTTGATCATCAGAGAAGCAATAATTGTCCACAGTAGTCTAATTAATGGGATTTTTTTTTCAGATTAAAAATTGCAGGAAATGAATTGATCCATAACAGCTTTTTTAAAATGTTGTCTTCACTTTACCTTCTTAGACACTATGAAAAAATAAACTTCTTAGATTGGCAAGGTAAAGCACCTAGTCACTTTGGTTCATTGCTCCTCTATCATGGTTTTTCTCTATCCCCTTATTATTTGTCATTACAATGAATTTTCTAGTCTAACAGCTTTTCTGAGAGGTTAGTGATATGCCTTCCTCCTCCTTGCTGTGTACATATGGTCTACATAGCAAAATGCAACTGTCCAAAGTGGCTGCCACATCACATGGCATCATATAGCAAACCTTTGGCAGCCTTTTCCTCAATAATGGTTGACTCTTTTTCAGTATCCTTAGGAGTTTTCAGTTGTTATAGTAACAAACCCCTTGCTGCTGAATCGGTCCTGAGATGCCAGCTTCAGGCTTTTAAGCAGCACAACTTATCTGCATTAGGATTCCTCCCACCCTGCACACCCAAAATCACTGTTTAAAGATTACTTTACAACATACTTAATAGTAAACAAGGTAGTTTGTGCATGTGTGTGTTCACTTATTCCTTCATCCATCCATCCATTCATCCATCCAGCCATTCATTCAGTTTGTATCCCGTTCCCATTAGTGTCGTAGCACTACTCTGGGTAGGTTGCAATCTCATAAAAAAAATAGAAATATTAAAACTGATAACAAAAATCCTTAAAAAAAATAAAACCAGATGGCACCAACTAATCAAAGTGTGGATGGAGGAAAAGAGGGGAGGAAAGTAGTCAGCTGGGGTTGGTGTGGAAAGCCTCCCTGAAAAGCAGTATCTTTAATTGCTTCTTAAAAGCCCACGGGGAGGGGGCGAGGCGGAGCTCCTCTGGAAGCTGGTTCCATAAGGTTGGAGCCACTGCAAAGAAAGTCCTATCTTTTGTAGAGGATTTATGAGCCTCCCTCAGGGTGGCCACCTGGAGGAGCCTCAACTGGGATGACCTTGTGGGTCGGGCAGATTACATTAAGGAGAAACACTCCAAGTAACATGGGCCCAAAGCATGGAGGGCTTTGCATGTGAATGTCAAAACCTTGAACCTGATCCGGGACACCATGGGCAACCAGTGGAGGTGAGCCGAAACTGGAGTGATGTAGTCAAATTTACTTGCACCAACCACTAGTCTGGCTGCTACATTCTGGACCCGCTGAAGTCTCCGGAGCAGGTTCAAGGGAAGCCCCATGTAGAGGGCATCGCAGTAGTTGATCCAGGAGATAACCAGGGCCTGCACCAAAGTCCTGAGGGAATCCTCGTCTAGGTAGGGGTGAAGTTGGGCAATTAGCCTAATCTGGTTGAAGGTTGAGCTGGACGCAATTGCAATATGGGACTCCTGAGAGAGAGCTGGGTCTAGAAGAATGCCAAAAATACGCACTTGGTCTCTAAACTGGAGGAGAGTATCATCCAGCCTAGGGACCATCCCTACCCTATTGGAGGTCTCCCCCCCCCCCGGAGCCAAATCTCTGTTTTTTCTGGGTTCAATTTGAGCCTGTTAGACCTGGTCCATTCCAGTACAAGCGTCAGGATGGCATCCAGTGTAGAGGTGGCAACAGAGTTAGAGCTGCATCAGGATACTGATGGCACCTTACTCCAAAACTCCTGATGACCTCCCCCAATGGCTTAACATAGCTGAACTCTTTAGACAAGGTCCTCAAGGAAGGATCAGAGCCAGCTTGATGCTACGCCCCCAATCCCAACCTCAGAGAGACTGTCCAGGAGGATATCGTGGTCGATGGTATCAAAAGCCACTGAGAGATCTAGGAGTACCAACAGGATGCATCTGCCTCTGTCAACTTCCCTTAAAAGGTCATCCTGAGGCGCAACCATTGTCGTCTCAGTACCCCATTGCGGCCTGAATCCAGACTGGAATGGGTTAAGGCAGTCCTGCTCCTTCAGGTATGACTGCAGCTGATTGACCACCACCCTCTTAATCACCTTGCCTAGGAATGGTATGTTAGTGATCAGACGGAAATTGTTAAGATTGTCTGACGCTAACTGGGGGCATTTGATGATTGGTCAGACAATGGTTTAAGTGGGAGGGATGCATTCCCTCCCTCAATGATGAATTAATAATGTTCATTACCCAATCAGTCATAGACCCTTTCATGGCTCTGATCATCCACTCTGGACAAGGATCCAGTGAGGAGGCAGTGGGCCAGTCAGCTAGCCACCGCCCTGGAAGATTCCTCCTTTACTACAGAGGCAAACTGAACCAACTGGGCATGTGCTGCTGAAACCTTAAATTCTCTTAATTCTCATTCTGTTACTCTTTGGCTTGTTTAAAATGCCACTTACCATTTATTAAATCCACATTTGTTTATTTTTACTATACTTCTCCCTTCAACAGCTCTTAAGGTTAGGGGTGCCAGACCCTAGTGTAGTTTAAATCCGAAGATAATTCTTATGTCTCCCCCAAATGTTCTTCGAGAGTAATGCATTCTTCCAGAGCAGATCCAACCTTTAGTAGATGAGAAACGCAAGAGCCCATTCTTACTAGAGGAGTTATCACATTTGAAAAAAAAAAATCATCAGCTTGAATTATGTGACCAGTCTGACAATCGGAATCAGGTTCAACAATAATTCTATGTAGCACTTATGTCTTTTTTTGGGGAGGGGGGTAACTGGAGTTTTGTTGGCAACTGCTGGAGCCCTTGTGCTCCAGACAAGAAATACGATGATGCTGTAGACACATAAGATGAAGCAGACAGAGAATCACTGCTAACCACAGCCATCAGCTGAGATTCTAAAAAGATCTCACAGGAGCTTCTTTAGATAAAAACACAGATTCCTTCACTTACTTCACCAGTTAGCAAGCTGGACCTTCTAGATATAGGTGGTCCTCCTAAGTAATGATCTAACGGACACTGCTCTGCAAAAACCATCACTTGGTTCTCTACTCTTTTTAGACCTGTTACAGTTCAAAGTCGCAAAGATTCACCAGTCTTAACTGCTGCTCATTTTTATATATCTTTATTCATTTTGCATGAAATGGAAGAACTATTTTCAGTATTGAGGTGAATTCCTTTCTGCTAGTTCCAAGATCTCCCTCCTGTGAGTATGTCAACACCATTCTCTGGTCCTTTAGGAGCCTGGCCACCATAATATCAGGAGTACTCTTCCCTCACTCTGTCCCCCTCTTCTGTCTGGCAAGGAAAGTGTTTTTGTGTTCTGACAGTCATCACCCCGGTGTGATAATCTAGGACAGTAATTCCCAACCTTGGGTGAAGGCTTCTGGAAGTTTTAGAACATCTGGGGATCCAAAGTTGGGAACTAGGAGCACAATCTGACATTGGTGTCTGATCCTGCCATGGGTAGAATTAGGGCTGGGTGAAGCCAACAAGGGAAAAGTCACTTAATGACCAATGACTGTGGTTCTTGTTATATTTTACTGGTCAAATATGGCTGGCTATTTAGAAGACTGACAAGAGAAACTAGGCTATTAATTTAGATCAGCTCAGCTAGAAATATCTGCATTTCTTAATTTAGGATATGTCGAAGGACTTCTGTTTATCAGCTTTATATACCTTTTGTCTCTCTTTGTTTAGAGGGTGTAACAAAATAAAGTCCAAGGGCTTACCCCGATATTTCCGTGAAGTCTCTTCTTCTCAGGACAGAGGAAAGAAGGGGAACAGGTGAGGGAAGTTAAGTTTACATAGGTGGACATTTTACTAACCTTTGATTTGTTTGCATCTGTGAAGTACATGTTTCTACACTTTTGTAGAAAATGTTCCAAAGTTCTCATGGTAGATTTGAATCAATAACCTAGTTTAGCTGATCCAATAGTAGTATTAGATTGCTGTAGAAGGTTTGCACAAGTGATAATTTCGAAAGAAATAGCCATGTTAGTATTTCTCAGCCACTTGGCAGAAATAAAGGAGGAAAAGAAAAAAGAAGAAAAAACCCAAGAAAAATGCCATAGCACCTTAAAGACTATCAGATATATTTCAGGGTGAGCTTTTGTGGATCTGTATCTACTTCTTCAGACAGAGGGAGAGCCGTCACATGTCCCTTCTATTTATTCCCATGGTGGTGAGAGTCATTTCCACCAAAATGGGACAGACGTCAGAAATTTTCCTCTGTCACAACTTGCATTTGTGTGACAGCCAGGTCTACCGGGCATAAAATCCATCACATGATTAGGGCTTGCAACCTGAAATAATTACCAGCCTGATGGTCTCCTTCTTGTGTCAGTGAACTATTTTATCTGTATCTTTACCTGGAGACAGTTCTCATCCCCATGGGGGGAAAAATAAAGGGGATATATAGAAGTGGACTGTAGTGTACAAAGGCTCATACTAAAATAAAGCTGTTAGTTTTTAAACTGCTACAGTATTTTGCTCTTTGTTTTTTTCTTCTTTTCCTCATTATTTTGCCTACATGCTTAAAATCTGTTGTTTTAACTATACAGTATTTCTTTAAATTACCATCACATTTTAAAAGATTTACAATAATTATTAAGACGTTATTAACTTTTTTTTACAAATAATGTTTCACTCATAAAAACGTGTAAGAAGGATAAAGATGTTGAACCTTTTTTCCTTGCAGTTAACATTATCTACAACAGTATGTTTCTAGCCTTTAAGTACCTTGCATACATGTATTTTGCTTTTGTAGGAATCTCAGTTTGTGTTCATTCCTCTTTTAAATCAAGATGGGTGGATGTTTGAGCTTCTCAGTAATCAGGGTTCTGTAGCATGTAATACATTACAAATGTAAGATATGGAGCAGTGATGGAAGCAACAGTATTTAAAACTAACTTGAAATGGCAATGGTAAATAAGGATGGATGGATCAAGCTATATTTGATCTGTGCGTTTTTGTTTATAAATGTATTCCACTGCTTTGATATATTGACCCATGTGTACATTTTTACTCTTTAAAATAGTATATTCGTTTTATTCTAAAATATGGTTATCTTCTGTACTTTTTAATAGAAATATTTGCATTGTCTATGCATGTTGGTGCATGTTTAAAATCTGGATTGCAAAATTAGGGAAATATGGAACTGAGAGTACAGCTGTAATCTGATCAGCATTTTACTTTGGAAGTTGTGATTGGTATTAATTCACCTCCAAATTCAGGCCAAAGGAAATCCAAGAGCATCTCTAATAGTTTTGTTATAGTGCAGCAGTGGATTAAAATGATTGTTTCAAAAAGGAAAATTGCGCTTCTAGCAAGATGCCATTGTTCAGTGTGTTTGGTGGAGGTAGCTGATGTGTGAAAGTTCAGCGCTGAAAGACATATACCTGGTCTACACACATGTGGTATAATAAAATATTATATTATCATTTCAGAATTTCAAGGGGAAAAAGCAATTTTTGAATTTTCTCCCTAAAATTCTCCCTGTAATTAAAAAATAGCACATAAAGAGAAGATGCTCCAGTTCAGTGGTCTCAACTGTTAGTATCTTAAGTCCCTCCAAATACAGTGGTGCTTCACTTAACAACGATAATCCATTCCAGGAAAATCGCTGTTAAGCGAAAACATCGTAAAGCAAAATTAAAAACCCCATTGAAATGCATTGAAAACCATTCAATGCATTCCAATGGGGTAAAAACTCACCGTCCAGCGAAGATCCTCCATATGGTGGCCATTTTCGGTGCCTATTTAGCGAGGAATCAGTCCCTAAGCACAGCCATTTTAAGCACTTGGCGGCCGTTTTGAAAACCCAATGATCAACTGTTTTGGATCGTCGTAAAGCAAAAATTGGTTCCCAAAGCAGGGAACCGATCTTCACTAAGCGAAATTCCCCCATTTAGACCATTGTTTTGCGATTGCAATTGCGACTGCAAAAAGATAGTCGTAAAGCGGATTTGTCATAATGTGGAGCAATCGTTAAGCGGGGCACGACTGTACTGTGTCAAAGAACCTGAGGTCTCCATGATAAAAATGGATACTAATTTTTTTTACAGACATTCTGTGAATATTTTTGCCACTTACAATAAACTGATGGGGAAGGAGAACAGGGGATTTAGGAGGAAGAATAAGTTCTGAAGTTACTATTACTGTGCCAGGAGTTTACAGGTGAATGAATGCCATATAGAATTAATAAGGAACAGCACATCGCAGTTGTAGGAGGACATGGATATTGAAAGGGAGCAATTTCTTAGCCATTGATATGTCTTAATTATTGTTATGAAAACACTGTTTCCCACCCAATTGTGCCCTACCAGGGGTTTACATACATCTACACGTTCTCCATGTGCCTCTGGTTGAGAAACACAGCTCTCGTCCTTCTTCCCTATTGTGCTACTTCTTGTTTCTTTCAAGTTGCCTTTTATGTGGGGAAATACTTGTAAACGTGGGTCCAAATGCAATCAGAATAACATAACCCATTCTGTCCCCTCAAGAGACACCCCCCACCCCTGTGTGCAGTTGCTCATTATATGGAACTTGCCTGTGGGTTTGGATTGTTTAAAAATGGTTTTTGAAGGATTGCACACAATGATACATTGCATCAAAGCTGACATTCTTTTGTGATCTGTGGAAAATACTTTCATATATAGCTCTCTATAAACAAATTACAATCTAGCCTTTTGTAATATATATATATATATTGCTGAAACAACCCAAAGTTATAAAACACAGCTTGACCATGGTTAGTGTCAGCCGTGGAACAATGTGGGCCCTCCAAATACTATTTGATTGCAGTTCCTACCGGCAGTAGCGTAGCCAGTGCCAGGGATTATGGGAGTTGGAATCCAACAGCATCTGGAGGACCAAAGATCTCCCACACCTAGTTTGAACGAGGCAATGGTAAACCATATTCAGTTGTATGAAAGTAGTGGCTTCCTCTCTTTTCTGACAGATACACTGAAAGAGGAAACGGGTGCCAAGAGCATTCATGCCCAGTTTTTTTTCCACATAGTACAGTGGTGCCTCGCTTAACGAGGATAATCCATTCCAGCGCAATTGCTGTAGAACAAAATCCTCGTTAAGCGAAATAAAAAAGCCCATTAAAACACATTGAAAACCCTTCAGTGTGTTCCAGTGGGCTGAAAACTCACTGTCCAGCGAAGATCCTCCATAGGGGCGGCCATTTTCACTGCCTGTAAAGCGAGGAATCTGTCTTAGAAAACAGTGGGGGGACATTTTGTACACGCGGCAGCCATTTTGAAACCCGATGATCAGCTGTTTTTAGATCATCGTAATGTGAAAATCGCTTTTGAGATCGCAAAAATCTAATCGTTAAGCTATTTCCTCATTAAGCGAGGCAATCGTTAAGCGAGGTACCACTGTATTCAAAATTGCTTTAGAACTATATGGATAATATAAAAATTGGTATAGGATCACAGATCTGGAAGATGTTGCATTTTTGGTCTAGTTCTCCAAAACTTCCCAGGCAGCACAGCCATGGCCGGCTGGGAAGTATAATCCAAAAACTTTCCAAAATCCTTATATGTTACATCTGAACAAGACCACAATGTCAAGATAAATGGGGAGAGTAATTTGCTTCTAAATTTTGTCAAACTGGGGGTTAATTTTAGGTTCTTACCACAAGATCACACATATTTGGAATGGATTCTATAGTCTAGAATAAGGCTTGAATATTTAGTTCTTTAAGAAGAAATGTTTCATAACTAATCTGTGTAACGTTTTCCCAAATTTAAATATGCAGACATCATTTGGACCCACTCTTAAGTTCTAAGAGGAAAAAACAGCATTTAAAAAAAAAGAAAACTAATTTTATTATCATTTCCTTAGTGTAATATGTATCTGCAAATCAGATCTAATTTAATTTTGGCAATATTTAAGTTAATATTAAAATACTTTGCTTTCTGAGAAAAACCAATTGAATCTCCATTAAAATCAATCCTTACACAAAAGAACATTGTAAGGTGAGTGAATAATGATTGAGCTAATCATTTTTCATAAAAGAGATGAGATACAATTTCTTCTTGTTAAAGAAAAACATTGTAATTAGAGGAATTTGCTAATTGAAAATATCGTAGCCAAGCTCTCAATTTTTGTCATTAAATAGAGTATTTAATTGGCATTCAGGTTCTGAATTTAAATACGAAGTAAAAGGAACCTTGATTCACATGATTGTTTACATGTAAAATAACTAAATTAAATATACTGACAATATTAAGTAATATTTTTTTCTAAAAACACAAGACACATTTTGTAAAATTATCATTGAACATATATATTTTTAAAAAACCTTTTTCCTAATTTACATACATAGTACTCCCTCTAAATACATGTCAGCTCTCTTAATTAGACTGCAGTGAAAGCATTTTGAATGTCTGATAATTGCAATAAGAAATTATGTACCTATTTTAATTCTGACATTTAGCGCCAGTCAGTCATCTTTCATATATTGTTTGCCTACAGTCTGTGTCAAGAGGTACAACTCAGTCCCATCTGCCCTTTCTAAGACTGGAATGAGTGTGAATTCTTGCAACTTAGGTGACTAGAGACTTCTCAGAAAGAACTGAGTACTCCAGAGACCATTTGATCCAGTTCTGTTAAAACACCACTGTTGGCACACATGAGTCTGGATAAAATCCTAGTGAAAAAGATAAAGCACTTAAGCATTACCATATTTGCCGGTGTATAAGGCGACTGGGCGTATAAGACGACCCCCGAACATTCCCAGTCAGAATGTAGAGTTTGTTATATACTTGCTG